CAAGATCTGTGTGAGAGCACGGAGTCCTAGGGGTTCACAAGCCGCTGGCTGCTCCTTCCCTGTGAGCTATGGGCAAGCGATGGCCTCTAAGGATGAGAGAATCCGTTTTCCTTCCAATGGAAGGTCCCACACCCAGAAATATGTTATGGGCAGCACAAACTAGAGTCAGTGAACTATTTAAAGAGAGAACACAAAGGAGGTCCCACAGCCGCTTCACGCCAAATAAACACACAAGGACTTAGGCTGATTTATATACGTACTGGCTTCATACTGGCTACTTCTCTCTTAATTATTAGCCCGTAACCATTAATCTGTGTATTTTCACATGGTCTTGGCTTACTGGAGAATGACTGGACCTGGGGTGAATAAGTTCAAAATAAACTGCATTAAATTATCAAAGAATTCCTTTTTAAATATGAAAAATGTTATAGGCAGTCCGCAGGAACATTTCGGCATGCACTTGAGGGCACATGCATGCGTATTCAGACACTCACATAAGATTTTTAATTTTTTTAATATTATAAAAAGGTTGGGTGGGGGAGGCTGGAAAGGTAGCTCAGCGGTTAAGAGCGCTGGCTGTTTGTTCACTGGCTGTTCTCGCAGGGGACCTGAGCTCTGTTCCCAACACCCACACAGGGGCTCACAACTACCTGTAACTCCAGTTTCAGAGAATGCACTGGCCTCCAATGGCACCAAACATGCCAGTGGTACACAGGCACACAAGCATGCAAACCGCCCACACACATAAACTAACAGTGATAATGTTTGTGAGCTTTTAAAGTCACAAACAGAAGCCCTAACCTCCTGTGTGCCACTCCAGGCTCGGGCTCCGTAGGGCTGCTTTCTTTTCAGTACCCACATCATAGCAACAACGTGGGCAGCCATTGGGCTTACCGGCTGCTTCCTTTCAAACCGGCTTCCTATGTTTTGAACAGAGTTCTCAAGATTAATCATTAAGTTAATTTTGAATTTTTAACTAATTTGATCTACTGAACCGTTAACTTGTTGGGTCACCATCCAATTAATTCTTATTACTTTTTTTTTATTTTTCTTTTTTCCCCTTACTGGAAAAAAAATCACAAAACTAGAAAAACTTGGAATGTTATGAAAACAGAAAAACTTCACTTTAGAACATAAAATATGAGAGTTGTGCACCTGAAGTTTTAAATGGTGGGTTTATTTTCTCCTTGTTCTCTACAAACCCACTACGGTCACGCCACGGCAGGTTTCTGAGTCTGCGTTCTCCTGATATGTCTGTCCGTGTGGTTCTTGCATGGAGAATAGCTCCGCACTGACAATGTCTGTCTGTCCGTGTGGTTCTTGCGTGGAGACTAGCTCCGCACTGACAATGTCTGTCCGTGTGGTTCTTGCGTGGAGAATAGCCCCGCACTGACAATGTCTCTGGCAGTAGTCCCAGCCTCAGAACTGCGCCTGCCAAGGCGCCCTCTTGGGTAGAACAGTCAGACATTTGGAAATCTCCTCCCAGCCACACAGTCCCCACTGGAGAACCATTGTCTGGCACCAAGACAGTCGCTTCCCAACGGGTCTACCCAGAAACCCCTTCTTCAAATTATAACCAAAGCGACCTTTCCAACTGGGACCCTGCCCGTCCTGCTTGAGGTGAGCTTCAGGCAGGCTCACGTTATTTCTTACAGTGAAATTCAAACCCTTACTGTTGCCTTAGAAAAGTCTAGCTTGTACCTCTGGCTCCATCCTGCACCCCGACTTTCTAGTCCCTTCTGCCTTCCAAGCCCCTCCAATACACTGCTCTTTCTAGCCACTTATCATTGCCCAAATATCTGCCAAGAGCTTGCTTTCCCCAGCTGGCAAGGTCATCTGAGGACCTGCCGTCCATGGGGGTGAAGAGGAAAAGGTCTCACTTTGTCACCCTGGCTGGCCTGGAACTCATTACGGAGGAGGGTTAGCCTCAGACCCACGCTCAACCCCGTTCTCCCCCACCTCAGTGCTGGGTTACAGGCACATGCTGCTCTACCCAATGGCTACGCCTATCTTCTCAATGTCAACACTACCTGGGGGCCCTGGACCAAAGCTATAACCTACAGAAAAGCTGCTTGTATTCTCGTGGCTGGAAAAGAAAGCAACCTTTAACGGGGCAGTTAGACCTTGATCATTCACAGCCATCAAGGAGAAACAAGCCAATGCAGATTTTCTTAATTTACATGTGATAAAAATGAACTGTTCTAGAGTATAGTTTTGTGAGTTTTAACAGCTATAACCACCACTACGGTCAAGATACAGAACACTTCTAAAACGCCAAGAAATATTTTCCTGTTGCCCCTTTGCCGTCAGTCTCTCTCCCCAGCCCGCGAGCCACAGCTCTGCCCCGCATCCCATCGTTTTGTCTCTTCCTAATATCATTATTCTGTCTCTTTCCTTACCAATAAAGCTATGCACGCACACAAGTGAGCTCACACATGTGAGTAAGCATGTCCACATTCATTTAGGTGCCATATTCTTTGCATTAAGTGTTTTAATTTGGGGTTGGGGGGGGCGCTTTGTTGTTTTGTTGAGATAGTGTCTCCCTTATAAACCAGGCTAACCTACAGCCCAGGCTGGCCTCTAACTTGCACACAGTGTCCTGGGTCGTGGAATTATAAGTGCACACCACCATGTCTTTACATTAAATTATTAAACTGTTTGATCCCAGCACTCAGGAAGCAGAGGACGGAAGACCACAGGTTAAAAGCCAGCCTGGAGCCAGGTGTGATGGCGCACGCCTTCAATCCCAACACTTAGGAGGCAGAGGCAGGCAGATACCTGAATTCGAGACCAGACTGGTCTACAGGGTGAGTTCCGGGACAGCCAGGACTACAGATAGAAGCCTGTCTTTTAAAAAAGCAAAATTAAAAAACATTTTTAAAAATCAGCACGTGGAGATGATTTCTGTCCTCCTGCCAACAGGAGATCTAGCGCTTGAGGAAGAGGCTGTCAGCTGACCGGTGTCCAACTGCTGCCATTCTGCATCCTGAACTTTGGGTCTTCTCCAGCTCAGTTTCTTCGCGCTATCTGACAGCCCGGGGACCTTGTTCATGCCTACAGCATCTGTGCTCCAAAGTGTCCCTCCACCTCTCCTGTGACTGTCTGCCTTGCCTTACCACACGAAAACTGCTGCACCGCCAAGCACTACTCTTCCTCAACAGTCTTTGCTACAGAACCTCCAGGATGATTCTAGCCCTTCTCTACTTACGACCATAGCTTCGTCAGTGTGGAAAGTCAACCCTAATCACATTGTCAGATCAGCTACGGTAGAGGCAATCATCAGCTTCTCGTAGTTGACCCAGTATCATATGTGTTTAACGTTATCTGCACATGTGTGGGGGGGGTGGAGGGGGTGAATGTGCACCAAGGCACACATATATCTGGAAGCCATAGGTCCACATCACGTGTCTCCCTCCGATACTCTTGTCCTAACTAGTGCTCTATTGCTGTGAGGAGACACCATGACCAAGGCAACTCTTTTAAAGGAAAACATTTCATTGACGGTTTGATTACAGTTTCAGAGATTTCGTCCATTATCATCGCGGCAGGAAGTGTGGCGGCAGGCAGGCAGTCATGGTGCTGGAGAAGTAGATGAGAGTTTTACATCCTGATCCACAGGCAGAGAGAGACTGTGGGTCGGCTGTGGGCTTTTGAAATCTCAAAGCCCACCCCCAGAGACACACCTCCTCCAGCAAGACCACACCTCCTGATCCTTCCCAACGGTCTACCAACCGAGAACTAAACGTGTGCGTGCCCACACGCTTGCGTGTGTGCGTGCGTGCGTGCGTGTGTGTGTGTGTGTGTGTGTGTGTGTGTGTGTGTGTGTGCATGTGTGTGTCTATGGATGCCATTCTCATTAAAACCACAACTCTCAACACCTCCCAATTTTTTTTGTTGTTGTTTTGGTTTTGGTTTTGGTCTCACTAGGCTGGCCTTGAACTTTTAGAGATCCACCTGCCTCTGCCTCGTAAGTGCTGGCATGCCCACCCAGTAATTTCACTTTAAAAAGCTCTTGAAGGATGGGGAGATATAGCCCGGTGGTAGACTGCCTGCTCTGTCGGTGTTTTTCCGCCCAGAAGCACCGTTGACTCTGCCTGTGATGGAGACAGCATCTGACCACCACTTCCCACCACTGGCCCTCCCCTCCCAACCCTGCTGGGCCTCAAAAACTCATCCGCGGTCTGTTCTCCACACAGCCAGAGATCCCTGCAGAAATACATGCTCCACAGTCACGCCCAGGCCGAGAGCACATTCATCCACACACCGAGATGAAAGACATCCGTACCCTCCCTGGCGAAACGGAGCCCAGACAATGAACCAAACGCACGATAAAGAAGTCAAATATGGAGGGGCATCCGTGCCTGCCTGCTGTGTGAGAAAATAGAGAGAAAGGTAAAAGGGAGGGCTGGGTTGTACAACCAGCAAGGTAAGTCCAGGCCCCTCCCTCAGAGCAAGGCCTTGGCAGGTCCCAGGAAAACATTATTTTGGATTCCTCACCTTTAAGTGACCACATGATGAGCTCAAAAAAAAAAAAAAAAAAAAAAAAAAGTTTTTTACATGTTACTTTTGTCTAACTACGACTTGTTTTTTTAATGTTTAAATACTTTCCTAATAAGCCGAAAGTACCCTAGAAATGCTAAATTAAGTGAAGTAGTTTAAAAAAAAAAAAAAAAACTACCCATGAAAGTGGGTAAGAATTTTTCATTTGATGGAGCTTTCTTTCATGGCATAAGTGAGCTAGGAACACCAGCGTTTTTTTTACAGGCACCTACCACGTGTCTAGTGTTGGGGGACATACAACATGGGGAGCTACTGGACTTGCTAAAAATAGAAATTGTTTAAAGCTACAAATTCAGACTGAATTTTCAGATTAAGCCAGTTATAAAACCAAGGGTAGGTGAAGTCATCAGACTGACAAACACAAGAAAATTCCTCCAGAAATGTGGGCCTTTGAAAGCTTCTTATCTAATTGGATGTGGAAGACACATTGTTTGTTTTACCTTCCGGTGGTCTGTTGGATGTTGCCACAACGACGACCCCGTTTTTGAACAGATTTTCAAAAAGCTGTTTCAGAATCATGGCGTCGGCAATGTCAGTGACCTGTGGGCAACAACACATTTGTTTTATTTTAATTTCACTTCTGCTCTAACACATTTGCTAATGGCTCTTTTTTATTTTTTTATTTTATTTATTTTTTTTTTTTAGATGGAAGCGAATTCCAGGAGAAAAATTCTAATTACCACCATGAAGAAAAGAGTAGATAATTAAAAGCAGGAAAGGCCATCGAACAGTCTCTTAGGCTCACGCCTCCTTTCTGCAAATCAGTCATGTCTACCAAATCATCAAATGGTTCTGTGGTGACTTCTTTATCAACTCCATGTGGAAAGCACAGAAAACCGTCCTGAACACTTAGGAAATCCAATTAATTAGAACACGACCAACTCTGGCATTATACTGCCACCCTCTACACACCCCCAACACACACGCGGGGGGGGGGGGGGCGGGAGGAGAAAGAGCAACCATGTTAACATATACAGGCTATTTGCAGTTTCTAATACCTTTCTGACAAAGGTCCCCCGAGAGGCGACTTTTAATGGCCATGGGACTTTAGAAATAAGGACAAGTAGCCAGTGAGACATAATCAGCTGCTGTTGAAAATAGAATGATATGACATAGATACTATTGTGCAATTGTTGCACAAAACAATTCAACAGATGGCCCATCACAGAAATAAGCAATTTCATTGTTCTTTTTAAGTGCCTTCTATTACTGTCCATGAATAATCCAAAGACGATGCAGTCACTTCCAGCACGCCAGCCTCTGCTAACCCTGCAAACACAAATATTCCTGCTAAAAAAATTAAAATAAAAATAAACCTGTCCCTCCCAAGTGGTGCCTTAAAACGATGACCTCCGGCGAAACTAGAAATGCACCCTGCAGGCAGCTAAACAAGACGCAGTGCAGGCAAAACCACGCTAGGCAACCGAGAAAGAACACAGCCATTCATCTCTTCTGAAATTATTTCGTGTTCGAATTCATCAAAAGACCACTTAATGGCAACTCTTTTTCTTTAAGAGGCTTTTACAGCTCACAGCGAAATCAGCAATCGAGAGAGGGAAACTTCACATGCAACCTAAGCGCTGGCTGAAGACACCCTGCCCACAGACAGGGTTCATGAATGTCCCGGCATAGGAGTGCGTCGACCTTCTCTACCCACGCATTTCAAAGACCCTCAGTAAAGTTTGCCTTACCCATTCGTATTTTCCCACTGATAGAGGATACAGGAACTCCTGGAAATCTTCCTATCTGATCAAGAAACTCCAACTTACCATGGGTCTAAATTGCATCCCTCCTTATGGCCAGGATCTTATGAGACAGCGAAGGGCTTCCTCCCCACCTCAACAAAACAAAGCCAGGAGGGGCAGGGGAAGGGTCTTTCTGTCTCAAGCACTGCCCTGAAAACAGTGGCTAGGAGAACCTACTGAGAAAGCTTTCTACTAAGAAGGCTTCAGGAACCTCAAGCGTTCACGAGAAGAGAAGCAGTTGCTGGTGGTGTTCAGACACGGAGTTCGGGACCATGGATGAACTTTGCTTCCACAGAAACATTCATAGGGAAGGTCCTTTCACAAGCTTAAACACCAGTGGCATTGCTGATGAGGGGACAGAACAAGCTTGCAAAATTCAGTGGCAACCGCATTTTTAAATTAGATTTTAAAGCCAGTCCTAGCCTCTCCATACACTTCCTTTAAAAAAAAAAAAAAAAAAAAACAACGAAATGTTACCTGATATCAGAAAATGAGGGTAGTTCTTTGACTATTCCCGTAACAGGTTTTGGAATGAAAACTGAAAACTAGCTTTCATACCCTGAGGTTCAGAGAGGAATATTCAGCTGATACGCTGCAAAAGCTTAACCCAGAAAAGGATGGGAACAAACAGTCAAGGCTTGTGGTCCAGTTCCACTTGGCTGTTTTTACACTGTGCGAGCTGAGAAAGTTAACTTGGAGAAGCTATGACTAATTAATAAAGCAGGAGTCATCGGTGCAGCTGGATGCCAATGTGTACTCTTTGATCTTGGCCCCGCACTTGTCCGGGTTTGCTGGGGAACAGTAATTTTACAGTATAAGCAAACAGAAGACAATTGGCTCCGCATTCTTGGAGAGCTGGGGTGTTCGGCACCCAGCATTTCATTACCACCGGGAACAAAAGACAAGGCTGCAGATTACCAATAAGGGTACTCTGTGAGCAGAGAGTAGAGACGTTCCATTAGCATTAAAGAGAAGAGATCTTTATGACCTAGAGTTGCCTTCCATCCTGACTCACTTAAATAAGAGAACAAGAAGAAAAGTAATTCATTTACATGTGTAAATGCTTGAGGCTCAGTCACCCACTGATTGGTGCAGTGCCATGGAGTGAGTGACAAACATAGGCATGCATTATCAGTAATTAGGATTAGCACAAAAACAAGCACCTACTTTTTATTAGCAGTTTTTAATAGCGCTCCTGCTTTATAAAAACGGCTAACAGTATCTGCTGAGTGAGTGATACAGATGGCTTATAGAGGAGAATTTTACACAGCATGCTGCTTATCGGCATGCTTTTTAAATACCTTGTTAGTAAGACACGTCTTCCTTTGGAATTCTGTTTTCAGAATCACAAATGGCTTAGCAGGTACAATAAAAACTGGAAAGAAAACGTCAAGAATGAGGTATTCTTTCATTTCGGCCACTAAAACGCACTTAAGAAGAGACTCACATCAAAGAAGTGTATCTGAGATGTGAGGTGTCATGCTTGGGGAAGAGGACGAAGAAAGAATGTGCCCTGCAAAATGTGAGCTAAATGCTTCCAAGGTAGGGCCTTAAAACTCCTTCAACTCAAGAACCGGAAAGAAAGTGCATGTCCTTGCTTGTAAGCAGCAGGAATCCCCATTGTCTCCCTACAAAAAGGCATTACACTCATAAGCATCACCCTAGAGGCAATAATAAAGCGCAAGAACAGCAGGACTGGTACCATGCTCCAGTTTTAAACGTGACCCGGTGCTTACAGACATGTCATCACTAAGAATGAAGCACCTACGTGAGCCCATTCCCTATGGAGGGACACCTTGCTCAGCCTGGACGAAGGAGGCAGCGGGGGTCCTGCCTCAATTGAGTATGCCAGACTTTGCTGACTTCCCAAGGAAGGCCATACCCCCTCTGAGTGGATAGGGGATAGGAGGGGAGGGGAGGGCGGGGTTGGTGTGTAAAATGAAAAATAATTTTATTTAAGGAAAAAAAAGAATGAAGCAGCTAAATACTCTTCTACTCCATCCAGCGAGTGTTACCCCAGGCTTAAGGATGACTTCTGTTTCTACTCGATCCAGCAAGCTTAAGGATGACTTCTGGGTTTTGAGGTTCTGTTTAAACACCCCCAAATCCCACCTTACTCTACAGCCAGAAGCTAACCACATAATACAAGATTTTGTGAACTAAGGAAAATACATAACATAGCTGCTAGGAATCAGAGCCAGGATGCTGGATTTAAACCACAGCTCAGTTACATACCCTCTCTGATTCTCCATTTTCTCACCAATATAATGAAAGCAGCAGCAATACCTAGTTGCAAAACTTTACTAAGACATAGGTCAAACTCTGAAGAAATGTACTAGAGTTATTATGTATGTATAGTATATAAGCTCTTATAATTCCATATTAATAATGCATTGTTATATAGAATCTTGGTTTTAATCACAGTACAGAGTTTAAGAACAAAGGCATTAAAATATACAGCTCAATAAAAACAAGTTCAAAAAAGAAAAAGAAGAAAGGCATTAGAGTTAGTGGTCAAGAGCAATTTTTGTTCTTCCAGAGGACCCTACTTAGTTCCCAGAACTCAGGTCAGATAGCTCATAGCTGCCTATAATAACAGCTCCAGGGGATCCCTGGTTTCTTCTGGAGGTCACAAACACTCACACTTAAGTGCACACATGTACACAATTAAAAATTAAAATATTGTTCTGGAATTAGCTTAAGACATGGTACATTCATCTATGCTGCAGAACATTTGTTTAATGATGCAAAGATGTGTTGCATTCTTTTATGTTGCATTTGTTTAACTCTGTGAAGCTGTGTTCCTTTGCCTGTCTAAAGCACCTGATGGTCTAATAAAGAGCTGAACGGCCAATGGTGAAGCAGGAAAGGAAAACAAGTGGGGATTCCAGGCAGAGAATAGGAGAAGAGGTAGGTGAAGAGAGAGAGGGGTTAGAAAAGGAGAGGAGAGCCCAGCCACACAGCCGCTGCGGAGTAAGAAGGGAAGAAAGTTACACAGAATAAGGAAAGGTAAAAGCCCCAAGACAATGGTAGATGGGATAATTTAAGTGAAGAAAAGCTGGCTAGCTGGGCGTGGGTGGTGCATGACATTAATCCCAGCACTGGGGAGGCAGAGGCAGGCGGATCTCTGTGAGTTCGAGGCCAGCCTGGTCTACAGAGGAAGTTCCAGGACAGGCTCCAAAGCCACAGAGAAATCCTGTCTTGAAAAAACAAACAAAAAAAGAAAGAAAGAAAGTGAAAAAAAAAAAAAAGAAAGAAAGAAAAGAGAAAGAAAAGCTGGCTAAAAAATAAGCCAAGCTAAAGCCAGGCATTCAAAAAATAAGAATAAATCTCTATGTATTTATTTGGGAGCTAGGTGGCAGGGCCCTAAGGCCCCAAAGGCAGAGAATAAAAGAGAAAGCCAACTACAAAATATTTTGTTTATAAAAAAACAAATCATAGGGGCCAGACATGATGGAGCACAACTTTAATCCCAGCACTCAGGAGGCAGAGGGAAATTAATCTCTTTGAGTTCGAGGCCAACCTGGTCTATAAGTAAGTTCCAGGACACCCAGGGCCACATAGAGAGGCCTTGACACAAAGAAAACCGAAACCAAAACAAACACATGGGCACACAGAAAGCACCCAGGAAACAGTAGCCAACATCCTTGAGCATACATGAGGGGCTGACTCGTCCAGTGAGCATGAAGCTGTAGGTTCATCTACGGCTCCAAAATGAAGGGAAAAGACAGAGTCTACACAACAGAAGTAATGGATCAGCCCAACAGATAAATAAGCAACACCTCAAACAGTTCACGAAAGACCAGCTTAGTAAAAAAAAAAAAAAAAAAAAAAAAAAAAAAATCAAAGGAGAAAATGTATATTACCGCACAAATAATATAATTTAAATAATAAGAGCATTTTTGCCTATTAACAATGAAAAGAGATCAGACACCTCGGGATGTTGATAGGAGAAATGTGGCTGAGGTTTTAGTCTTCGGGTTCTAAGACGCTGACTCTGCTCGAGAGGTACAGCTATTAAACACAAGGCGAGCAATCTTTATGCGACAATGCTGTAGGCAAAGCTTAAGGGACCATCCAGGCAGGAGTTTAGAAGACCAGAACGCCAAAATATAGACAATAAAGACTGCTCATGAGGTTTCGGACAAAAAGGACTCTGTCTGGAAATGGGCTAGAGGCCATTTGTGTTATATGCTGGCAGAGAACGTGGCGTGATCTGCTCACGTCCTGACGTTTTCAAGTGAGGCTGAATTCAAAAGCAATGAGCTTTTCATTGCGGGGGTGGGGGAGGCTCAGCATAGCATGGCATTCATGGGGTTACAAGGAGAAAGGAGAGCAAAGAACAGAGCAGGCAGCTTAGAGAAGAATTAGAATGAAGTTCAGAAGCCAAGAAAAGAACATGAGCGCATTTAAAGCTGTGGACAGGGCCTGGAGAGATGGCTGAGCGGCTGAGCGGCCAAGAGCGCTGGCTGCTCTGGTCCCCACCACCCACACGGTGGCTCACAACCATCTGTAACTGCAGTTCAGGGGATCTGGTGTCCTCTGAAAGCGCCAGGCACACCTGCAGTGGACTCGATTGCATGCGGGCAAACACTCACACAGCTAAAATAAAGATAAATAAATCTTAAAAACAAAAAATGAAGGTTTGCACATCATCGGCTCTTCCAGAGGACCTGGGCTCAGTTCCCAGCACCCACACGACAGCTCACAGTGGTCTGTAACTCAGTTCCAGGGGACCTGGCACCCTCTTCTGCCTCTGAAAGCACAAGCATGCACGTGGTGCATACAGGCAGATGAAATCGTAAATGAATACATGGCCAGCTGTGGAGATGCACACAACACTCAGGAGGTTAGTACACAGAAATGATCTGTGTGAGTCCGAGGCCAGCCTGGTCTGTATAGAGCCCCAAGCCAGCTGGAGCCACCCAGTGACCCTGTCTAGAAACAGATAAACAAGCAAGGCGATGGATGAGCAGGATGTGCACGAAACTGCGGCTACTTAGAAGAGCTTTGTTAAAGAGAGGCCTTGCCCGGACTGGGCAATGGGAAACATGCCTTGAGGCAAGACCTCAACCACCAAAGGCTTTCATTGGAAAATACAGTACCTATTACAGATAGAGACAGAGGTGCTCTGGTCTAACAGGGTCCCTCTACAAGTGTCCCCCGGTTAGATCAAATTCATAAGAAACACGGGTCCAAGGTTTCTGACACGCTTTCGGATTACCTGCTTATAGGCAGGCGTAGTCTATTTAGGGGTGGAACAGAAAAGGACCTGTGACAAGAAACCAGGCCACCGGGGCAACTATCAAACCAAGTGTGGATGTCATGTCGCAGCAGGTGACAATACACACCCCTCATCCTTCGGGGCCTCGGGTGGCTTGAATGAGAATCGTCCCTATTCAGGGAGGATTAGGAGGGGTGGCCTCATTGGAGGAGGGCTTTGAGGTTTAAAGCCCTAGTTTGTGTCTACTTGTCAGCTCTCCGCTACTGCTCCCACACACCTGCCTGCCGCCACGCCACGCTCCCCACAATGGTGACCATGGGTCAATGCTCTCAAACTGCAATCAAGCCCCCAGTAAATTCTCCCTCCTATAAGTCGCCTTGCTCTCTCACAGCAATAGAACAGTAACTACGACACTCAGCTTGTACAGGGAAACCCTCTTGTTGTCTCTGGTAAGCTGGGCCTGATTAAACATTAGCAACGCAACGTAGGTGTTCATTCTTGATTCCTTCTCCCCATTAGTCAGCCTTCTCAAATAGGAACACTTAGTCCCATTCCCTGAACCCATCAGGCAGTGCACAATCGAAAACTGCAAACACAGCTCCAGGTGACCCAGTGCCTCAGGCAGTGCACAATCGCAAACTGCAAACACAGCTCCAGGTGACCCAGTGCATCAGGCAGTGCACAATCGCAAACTGCAAACACAGTTGCAGGTGACCCAGTGCCTCTGGCCTTGGCGAGCACCCGCACACTCATACACAACCACGTAGTGCACACATACAACTTAAAATAATAAAAAAGTCTAAATGTAACAAAAAAAGAAAACCCCCAATGTTACCTGAAATTCATCAAAACATAGGAGACAAGCTTCTTGGCTGATTTCTTCGGCTATGGGAGCTATCGGGTCATAGGACTTAGTCATGAATCCTGCCTTCCTTTTTGGCAAGCTCTGTTTAAGGCGATGTATTCCTTAGATACATGAATGAAACAGACAAAAATATTATATTAATAGAACATGTTAAGGAACTAGAATGTATTTCTAATCTCTGAAATTTAACCTGGACATGAAAATTAAATTTAAACCCCACGTGTAATGGAGTTCAATCGTTCAATCATCACAGTTTGATTATTGAAAAGCACTGTACTTTCTCTGCTTCAAAACAAGTTATTCAAACATTACAGTCTCAAAACTTTAAGGGTGAGTCAAGGTCATTCCGTCTCATGGCTGGATCATTTTATTACTTTATGGACGGCAGGGAAAGGCAGGTGGACACATCAGCAAAGTGGAATTGGTCCTGGGTTTAAGTGATGAGAGTAGGGTCAGGAAACCGGCCTGTGAAGAACGCATCTTGTCCAAGAGTATCCAATGACTCCAACCCAGGACATTCAACCCACCACTGCTCACTCACCAAATTTACACAAAACACTGAACGTGCCGGGCGAAAAGCAGTGCTCCTACTCTAGGGAGGTACAGATGATAGGCAAACCGTGCAGACAATGAAATAATCTACACACACCAAGACATGGGCAAGACGGAGCACACGTGAATCCTGCCAGTGGAAGATCATGCAGAAGGGTCAGGCTGTCTCAGAAAAGAATCGAGAAACCTGGTGAGGCGCACGATTTAATCCCACTACAGAGTGAGTTCCAGGACAGGCTCCAAAGCTACAGAGAAACCCTGTCTCAGAAAACAAACTAACAAACAAAAGAACAACCTGGAGGTGCATTCTCATTTTCCATATACGCGAAGCAAAAGATACCAAAGAAAATCTTACTTCAAGCAAGAGCCTGATTTTTTTTCCCCAGCACATACGGTCAATCACTGAAAAGGAAAATTGATTTTGTGGCCATCACACTGAAAGACCACTGGCTGCTTGGGGTCACTCGCTAACTTACTTCTGTGCACATCTAGCATGAAGCCATGAAAATGGACCCGTTTTTTCCTCTTCATCTCCACATAGGTATAAAACATGTCCATCACCATTGTTTTCCCTGTACCTGAAAAATAAAAATAAAAAAAAAAAAATTAAGAATGCCGTTAAATGGCATGTGCTGATTACACTAATGATTGTTCATTAGCTTTGAGATAATGAGACTTCGTGCATTGCTGCGCTCTGCTGGGTCGGGGGAGGCGTTTCCTACTGAACTGGCTTTAAAAGATTGATGTTCCCTGTTTTCGTCATAATCCTGCTTTTAGTCAACATGGAGAGGTAAGGCATAGCCTGGCATGGTTTCTAGCTGTCTTTCTTCTGTCTAAAAGACCAGAATGAGTTAATCTACTGGCATTACTATCTATCAGGAACTATGGGAAATTCTGAAATTAAAAGTGAAGAGAGAAGCTGGCAGGACAGCTCAGCAGGGCCTCTCTCTCTCTCTCTCTCTCTCTCTCTCTCACACACACACACACACACACACACACACACACACACATCAAATCAGGAGATGCAATTACTAAAATTCAAGGGCATCTTAGCAAACAGGAAGATATAGACTCATCTTTGGGCTTTTCTCTACTCCAGGATATATTAAACCCATGACATTTCTTTTTGTTTTATTTTATTTTTCTTTGGTTTTTCGAGACAGGGTTTCTCTGTAGCTTTGGAGGCTGTCTTGAAACTGGCTCAGTAGACCACGATGGCCTCAAACTCACAGAGATCTTCCTGTCTCTGCCTCCAGTAGTGCTGAGATAAAAGCCGTACACCACCACGGCCCAGCTTCCTTTCTTCCTTTTTTTTTTTTTTTTTTTTTTTTTTAAATTTTATGTGTGTGGTTGTTTTGTTTGCATGTGTGTCTATAAACCACGTGCATGCAGTTTCCTTGGAGGCTAGAAGAGGGTGTAGGATTCCTCTTGTGACTGGAGTTACTGATGGTTGTGAGCCACCATGTGGATGCTGGGAATTGAACTCAGGTCCTTTGCAAGAGCAACAATCCCTTAACCCCTGAGCCAACTCTCCAGCCCCCAAGTCCATGCCATCTCAATGCCAGGTCCTTTGTATGTGGAAATCCAGCTCCTAGTCAGACTTTTCCAGAAAAGTCTCACTTAAATTGAAAAGTGACTCTGCAAGTCTTCAGTGCAGTACTCCTGGTAGAATAAGCAACAGCAGATCCTCAATCATTACATTTACCAAAAATGCAAAGCAGTAAACTTTCAGATTCCACTGCATCTAACACTAACCCAGCAAAGAACATACACTTGAACTTGATATTTGTGTGAACTCTGTCAAATGATCTTAAAATGGAGAAGATCATCATGTGAGCTGGAAGCTAGCCTGAGTTATATGTCTCCCCCCCCAAAAAAAAAATGCTAGGCGTTGGTGGCACACACCTTTACACAAACCTTTAATCCCAGCACTTGGGAGGCAGAAGCAGGTGATCTCTGTGAGTTCGAGGCCAGCCTGGTCTACAGAGCGAGTTCCAGGACAGCCTCCAAAGCTACAGAGAAACCCTGTCTTGAAAAAAGAAAAATAAAATATTAGGTTACATAAATATTCAAGCTCTTACTTAAATACAATAAGTATTCACTTAATCAATAGATTTGCTGAATGTCCACATGGATAAGATGCTACTGACTGCAGGTGCTCTGGGAACAACAGGAACACCTGGGATCAATATGAGTTCCTCATCGAGCTGGGCTACGCTAGGAGTTCAAGGCCACCGTGGACTACAGCAAGACCCCGCCTCAAGAAAATGTGAGACAAATTGCTAAGTGTTTATGACAGGGTTAATAATAAGTAGGTGAGCTGTAGCCAATCATCAGCGTACACATTGTTCTGCGGGAGGTGAGGGAAATGGAAAGGTGTTAGCACATGGCTCAGTGACACATGCTGTGAGAGCACATAGGAAGACGGTAAAATATAAATACCAAAGACACAAAAAGCACTGATCATATGAATAATATGAATATATAAAACAGTCTTCAGAAACTAAGAAGGGGGCAAATAGGCCGGCCCGGCAGGTTAGGACACACAGCATACCTGGCAACTAGAGTTAAACCCTTGCGTCCCTCTCCTCCCCACTCCACCCCTCCCCATCCCCGCCCCCACTCCCACCCCTCAAAGTGGAAAGAGAGAATAAAATCTCCTAAGTTGTTATCTGATCTCCAATATACACCGTAGCAAATGCACGTGTGCTTGCAAACTGAAGAAGATAGTCAAGTAATAAAGTAATGTTTACATTAAAAACAACAACAAAGAACAAGATGGGTATAGTAAAGGCCTGTAATCGTAGCCCTTGAGAGGTTGAGGCTAGTTTGGCTATATAAAGAGTTAGAGGCCAGGCTGCACTATATGAAACCCATCTTAGAACAAGAGTAACAAAAGGTGTGTGGATGGGGGGTTGATAGCTAACAAAGACCCTGGGGGGAAAAGAATACAAATGTAAGATGATGAGTGTCAGCCCTAAGTACTGATCACATAATCCAGTAAAAAGGCCGAGATGCCCAAACACACAGGATAAAAGTAAAAACTGAGGGCTTTAGAGGTGGTGCAGGGTTAGGAGCACTGGCCGCTCTTCCTAAGGACTCTGGTTCGATTCACAGCATCACATGGTGGCTCACCATCATCCCTTCCAAGGGACCTGACACCCTCTTCTGGTCTTAGGGGCAATGTGCATGTGATTCGCTGACACCCAAACACCCATAGTTAATTAGCTAATTAATTAATTAAAGCCCAAAAACTCAAATACAAAGGCAGACTGAGCTCTGCCCCAGAAATACTCATCCTAAGAAAGCTGCAGTGGTCACAGGAATATCAGACAGACTGGACAAGTAATCAGGAATATTGCTAAAGATAAAGAACAATGCTCCATAAGATAATTGGTGCATCTAAAAGGTAGAATGGCAGGGGTCGCTGTGGCTCAGATCATAGGAGGCTGGGGCTGTGAGCCTGAGTCCAGTCCATATCAAAGGAGAGAAGAGCAACATAGTGTCACTCACAGAGCTTCACAGCATTAAATGAAACTAAAGGGGGAACAGTCTAATCAGCAGTAAATGTAGGAGGCGTTGGAAAAAGACAAAAGAAAAAGAAATGCAATGAGAATACAGATTTCCATAACATTTGACAAACTGAGGCACAGAACGTTACGCACAGCAGGAAGTGGATAGTGTTTTCACAGACACCTGAAACAGTCAACGGTAGCAGGCTTTCTTGGACCACCAGCCCCCAAACCATGGCACGGATGGAGACTTATTAGTCATGTGAGTGCTCGGCCTTAACTTACACTTGTTTCCAGCTAGCTTTTCTTTATTTAACTTTAATGAACCCACTCCTATTCGTCTGTGTGCTGCTCTGAGGCTGGTTTCCCTCATCTGTGTACTGTTCATCCTGTTCCCTGCTTCCTCCTGTCTGTCTGTCTGTCTGTCTGGCCCCTGGCTGGCTGGGGGGGCTGCCCTTTTCTCTCTGCCCACCAGCCCTGCCTACCCTCCCTCTGTCTAGCTGTTCGCCGTTCAGCTCTTTATTAGACCAGTCAGTCAGCTGCCTTAGGCAGGCAAGGTCAAACGGCAACACATCTCCACATAGTTAAACAAATATTCTACTCCATAACATTCAACCCTAACTCATAGTTAGGCTTCTGAAATATGAAAGGAATTGAGTCAGACAGACCGTTTTCTGGGACCACAATAAAATCAGTCAGATGTTTAGGAACTTATCAACAGGTAGGTAGGTAAAACTTGCAGCCCCACACGCCCTCCCACAGCAGCCTGAGCTCTTTCTAGAGCCCTCCACTTAGGACATTTTAAACATGGGGCAGGGGTTAAAAGACAGAAAGAGCTGCCCCTGGAGAACAGGAGACAGGCCTCCGGCTTCTCGCGGGAGAGTCGTACCTCGTTGTCTTTGCAATAACCACGTACAGGACTTGGTGGGGTTTGAAGTTGTGTTTTAAAGGTGCCCAAGGACTTTAAATTAGACCAGGACAAAGCAACACTTCAGATCCCAGGAACTAAGTGGAAAGTTAACCGTAAACTAAAATTAACAGGAGAAAATACGTGGGCAGGAGTAGGCCCACACTTAAGGGTACGTCCAGGCCTGATTCTTACACAAAGTGCCTTTAATTGCAGGGAATGTCTTATGCAGGCAGTCTGCGCAGCAGGGTTAATTGGATTGAAACTCTTGATCCTGGACTGGCAGAGCCCTCGATCAGACTCCAGGGTGAAGGGCTCCTTCCCCTTTCCACCCCCACCCCCATTACTTTCTGTCTCTCTGTACTGCTTCTAACAAAATGAAAAGCTGAGTACTGCCAAAGCAACTCTTGTTTTATAACTTCACAGGCTTATAGTAAAAAGCAACACTTTAAAATCTATAGGAATTTATCCTATTCTACAAAGTCAGAAAAGGCAGCAAATGAAACAAAGGAAATGTAAGAAAGGAAATAATAAAATCAAGAAATCAAAAAACCAAAAGCTAAATCACTGAAAACATTGGAAACAAAATAACCTTATCTCAACTATACAATATAGAGAGGAAAGAAAGCAATGGCTGGGAAATGCCCAAAGCCTGTCGTTTGTGTGAGGTGCCCTAAGGGCGTTTTTTCTAGGACACACCCCAGTCTCTGATATCAAAGCCATCTCCATCCTTAGCTCCAGGAGGGTATTTGAGGGGCCTTTGGGAGGTCCCAGAGCATAGCGGTACCTAACCATGAGGCATTGTGGCACACATACCTAACAATCCCGGGGCTCGGAGGCCAGTCCCCAGTCTCAGCTCCACACTGAGTTTGAGCCCAGCTCAGATTAAATAAGACGCCATCTCAAAAACCAAAACAGCAAAATAAAGACTGAACTCGGGTGCTCTGCTTGCTGGCAGGCATGACAGTGACACACTTTACTGCTTGGCAATATTACGGCAGGCCCCCAAATTAAACACAGTACACCTCCATCTAGCAACCCCACTTTGGGGAACATAAAATGACTGAAAGTAAGAATGCAAACAAAGATCTATATGTGCATTAATGTTCAGTAGTATTATTCACAACAACTGACGACAAATGACTCAAGATACCCACGGGTAGATAACAACCTGTGATTGATTGTTTTGTTTTGTTTTTTTTTTCCCCTGCAAAAGTATTTTTAGTTTGTTCATTATACCGTCTTCAAATTTTCTCACTTCAAACCAATAGCTTAGAGTTTATTTTAAACTATACTGAGGGTTTGGAAAAGGGAGGAGTATGAGAACAAAGAATTTAGGGGGAAATGTCTGATGTGTAGAACAATACAGATGAATCTTGAAGGTAACTTGTTACGTAAAATAAGCCAGACACGAAAAGCCTGATACTGGATGATTCCCTTCCTGTGAGCGGCCTAGAGCAGTCAGAATCACATCACAAGGGACAACGGTGCTCCAAGGACTTGAAGGCTGAAGGGAATGGGGAGCGGATGGAATTAGGGAAAAAAAACCCGTGAGTGAGCAATGGCCGCTCTGTGTATGTGTTCAGTACCTCTCCAAAGCACACACACACAAAACACACTGCCTGGCACAGGGCAGACACCCTAAAGCACCTGTCCACTGGAGAGAACAAGGTCGGAGGGCCGTGGGGAAAAAGTGGAAGGCGCCGGACACCAAATTCTACCAAGTTCACAATGTTGCTTTAGTCTCTAAGAATCATAAATTAAACCTGGTGTTTTCTCAAGAGCAGGATAGTACCAGGGATTAACCGAAAGCCCCCAATTAGGAGTCAAAAAAAACTGGAGGTTCCTTCTCCCAGCTCAGCTCTCCCCTGCAGAGAAAGCAGGAAGTGGGGTCCACCCCCAGGCCCCCACAACTGTGCTCTAAATTCTGCCAACTTCAGAGATCGGCGTGAGCGTAGGCAAGCCAGGCTGCTGCGGGCAGGGACAGTAAGGACAGGACGGGCCAGGCTGCTGCGGGCAGGGACAGTAAGGACAGGACGGGCCAGGCTGCTGTGGGCAGGGATAGTAAGGACAGGACGGGCCAGGCTGCTGCGGGCAGAGACAGTAAGGACTCACTTGCATTCTCTTCCAATGGTCTAGATAAACCCTTAACCCTGCTGGCACCACAGCAGTAAAGACTTAAGCGCCACCCCCCCCCCAAAAAAAAAGGAGGGAAGAAGAAAGGGAAGGTGGGAAGGAGGAAAAGGTTACACCTGTGTTAAAGATTCTGCAAGGCCAAATGACTAAACTTCAAGATTAAGGAGAGTTAAAATGTTACAAACCAGAGCCAGATTCTCGCAGCTATTTTTAGGCCCTTTGAAAGCCACCCATTCGCCACACCTGTGTCCACCAGCAGCCTTGTGACTGTCCAAACTTTAAACATATTAACAGACCACTAACCCAAACCCTAAGAATGTTATCAGATGTTGCCTCATACCTACAGCGGTGTCTTGCTTGGCTGTGACCCATGGACCCGCCAATGTATTTGATTTGTAGCCTCCTTTGTTCTGTGACTGCTAGGACCTGATGGAAGCATTTCCTCGGTGGAGCGTGGTGTTTGGAGAACCTGAACCTGGCTGATCACTTAGCTCCAGAAAAAAAAAAAAAAAGAAAGAAAAAAAAAAAAAAGCACCTCTTACTCTCTGTGAGGTGAGAATCGCATTTCTGCTTTGACAGTGGTCTGCTGGGCAAGAGCTGTGACAGGACTGGCTATGTGCCAAGAGTGAAGACACAAAGTATCACCATAGAGCTTTCAGCCTCTGAATGGGGTGAGCTAAGGAAGCTCTACTGATGAAAACCGTTTTCTTGAAGTTTGAACTGTAATGTTAGTCCACCAACTTAAATACCAACCTTGTGACGGTTCCAGGATACAGGGTACACCCAAGTCTATGAATACAGCATGGCGGGCGGGCACCACAGAGCACAGGGCAGTGGGGGAGATGAGGGTGGCAATGGGGCACCAGGAAGCGAGCACCCTCCTTCCCAGGAGACCTCGCTAGACCTAACCACCATTTCTCAAGTCCAAAATGGGATGGCAAAGAGTAAGCGTTTGGGGTGGCATTCTGAGGCCGTTCTAGCCGAGAGCCCCCCCCCCAAAAAAAACGAGAACTTGACTTCTTATTACCTTTTTTTCTGAGTATTCTAAACTGATTCTAGCCACCAAAAGTTCTCACTTCCTAGTTCAGGATTTGTCTCTCTTCTCCTCTGTACTACAAAGGCTTTTTTTTTTTTTTTTTTTAATAATTCATTTGACTTTATGTGCATTGGTATGAAGGGGCCAGATCCCCTGGAACTGTAGTTACAGACAGCTGTGAGCTGCCATGTGGGTGCTGGGAATTGAACTCAGGCCCTCTGGAAGAACAGTCAGTGCTCTTAACTGCTGAGCCATCCCTCCAGCCCCTTATAAAGGTATTTTAACCAACAGCATGTACCCAGCCTACACTGAACATCCCAGACTATTCCCTCCCTCCCTCCCTCTCTCTTCCTCCTCATTGTTTTGTTTTATTTGAGGCAAGACCTTACAACATAGCCCAGGCTAGCCCCAAGCTCATGTTCCTCCTGATGTTGGGATCGCAGGTCTGAACCTCATTCGTGACTGGTTTTTCCAAGGGTTCAGATGCTTTATTCATGCTGTCTGTCCACTCAATTAGTTAGATTATGGGAGCAACCTTCACCAGTCTTGTTTTTCAAGATCTTTTGCAGATCTTTACTAACTATCTTATTTACGGTTAAGTGACTAGGGAACAACAAAGAACCGATTTTTGCAATGACTGAGCATGAAAGCGAAGGCACAGGAAGTACAATGCTCTCCCAAACAACAAAAGCTGGACAGAGTGAGGCTGCGGGCGGTGCCCGGGGTGCAGGGGGCTGCGGGCGGTGCCCGGGGTGCAGGGGGCTGCGGGCGGTGCCCGGGGTGCAGGGGGCTGCGGGCGGTGCCCGGGGTGCAGAGAGCTGCGGGCGGTGCCCGGGGTGCAGGGGCCTGCGGGCGGTGCCCGGGGTGCAGGGGGCTGCGGGCGGTGCCCGGGGTGCACACACAAAACACCACCCAGCACCCGCTGTAAGTGAAAAGGAACATCACCTCAGAAGTCACAACCAGCCTAGCAGCGAAGGAAAGGCAGGTCCGCCCCCATGGAACTAGTAGATTGAGGAAGCAGTGCAGGGACGCCCCAAGCACATCTCCTAACTGATTTCAAGGAGACTGCAGGGCAGGCTGGTGCTGAAGCAGGAGCAGCGCTTGAGTCCACTAAACTGAGACCCGCAAAGGAGCCTAGTAAGACCCGGTTTGCGGGATGAGTGTGGGATGACAATAACGATAACCAGGTCATTACTCTACCTATGGGCTTAGATTGTGAATAGAAATCTGTGTGAAAATTAAAAAGGCAAAAGCATAAGCTTAACTTTAAGTCAGCTGAGTGCAGGGCACAGTGATAAGATCTGTCTGTGCAGTCAGCCACAGGCTAGTCCTGCAGGCCGGCTCGACTCTCTTCGTGCACAATAAGCTCTCACATGGTACCTGATTCTACCAAGGTGGAGAAGTGATGGTGAAAGCTGAGCTCACTGTCCCTCCCTCCCACTCACACCCCTTATCCAGGTCTCCCAAGTTTGGGACTGACAGAAGCTCCTGCTTCCCCCCCCCCCACCCCCTCCCCGGGACTTATTCAACACTTACCAACGTCTCCATAAACATACAGTCCCTTTGGAGGTTTATTCCTTGAAAAAAGCTGCAAATTAAGAACAAATTACAAATTTTCTATCATGAAATGAATTACACATAAGCAATCATACACACAAGGTTCCCAGCTGTGCTATATATAGGGCGTCCAGGGGGCAATTATACACAATAAGTAGAAAAGAAAAAGAAAAAACTTCGTGTGAAAGTCTGCAAAGCCAAAATATTGGACAGTCTTTAAAAGGAAAGTATTTTTGATAGGCTATAGCACAGATAAATCTCGAGGGCATTGTGTTAGTAAAATAAACTGGTCACACAAAGACAAAATACTTCCGACCCTCATATGAGGGACTCCGTGGTGAGGAATTAGTTTAGGAGATACAGTGTTGCATTTGAGTAACAGGAAGAGACAGGTAGGAGAAACACACACATTTATGTTGGCATTTACTGCCACAGAGCTGTGTAATTAAGAACAGTTAAGATGGGTAGCATGGCTGCTATCCCAGCACTCAGGAGGCTGAAGCAGGAAGATGCCTGGATGTCCGTAACCACACCTATGGTTTAAAAGGCAAAATCTGAAAACTCAGCTCAGACTCTGATCCATAATGCTCTAGCTTCTGCTTTATAACCCACAGGCTCATTCTAACTCTACTAACGTCTTCTCCGGACATGGGCCACACCCTGCCACAGGTCAGGCAAGCGCATCTTCTCCACCTTGGTTCCAACATCTGTATAACTTCCTGTTCCCCTGCAAGTCACTCTTCTTAAGTTTCAGCTGAAAACAGATTCCCATTCCTGCCAACATCTCTTAGTTTTTCTTTCTTTCTTTTTTGAGTGAAACATTGTGTAACTATATTTTCAACTTGCCAAAACAAAACAAACAAAATTACACTGGGTATGAGTGTGAGTGTGTATGAGTGTGAGTGTGTGTGTGGTTTTTCAAGGCAGGGTTTCTCATTGTAGCTTTAGAGCCTGTCCTGGAACTCCATTTGTAACCAAGCTGGCTTAGAACTCAGAGATCCACCTGCTTCTGCCTCCAGAGTGCTGGGATTAAGTAAGGCATGTGCCACTATCCCTGGCTGCATTACACTCTTAATGTTAGAACAATGTAAATTTGAAACCTAACATAAAACCTAATAATCTCTAAGGATATTCTGCATGTCAGAAGTCTTTTAAAAGCAATGTTCCGTATTAGTTAACTGGGGGTGTTAAACACAATGTACACAAAATGTTGTAGTTGGTTTTGGTTTTGGTTCTGGCTTACAGACAGTATAGCCTTGTGGTGCATAGCCTTGGCAGACCTGGAACTTGCTATGTCGATCAGGTGTGAGCTGCCAGGCCTGGAATAGTTTTTCCTCTGGTGCTGAGGATGGATGAGCGGCTCCATGTCAGAACACTTCCTCACACGTGAAGTGGCCAGGTCTCCCAGTTCGGGACTTAAGCAGGCACGAGGCAGCACTTAGGGCTTCTCTTCTTTTTTACTTCCTATCCGGTGATCCAGTGCATTTTAGAAGAGTACCCTGTCAGATTTTTGTATGTTATATGTATAATTTATGCTACATTGCTTTATATATTTTAAGATGTATTCTATTAACTATTTGAAAATGTAATACTGTGTATTTGGGTCATATTCACTTCTTACTCCTCTCCTTAAATTAAACTGAATTTGGGCTTGGTTTGGTGAATTTTTAGGGGGAAAATATGTTTTGCAGTCCCAGCACTCAGAAGGCAGAGGCAGGAAAATCTCAAATGCAAGACTAGTCTGAGCTAAATAGCAAGACACTGTCTCAAAAAAAAAATCATTTTTAAAATCCTACCCATAATGATCCACTGTGATTCTCATGGATGCCCTAAGTTAAGAGGCTTCTGCCTTTCTGGGACATCCACCCACTACTCCAGCATGATTTCCATTAGGACAACCGCCTAATAAAGGTGTTGCTCTTAAGATAAAAAAGTATTGTTTTCAGTTTGTTTAAAATGCAGGGATATTACTTTTCCTGTTTCTCCCTCCCCCCCCAATGCATTATTATCTCCCCAAATGGCAGGAGCAGAGACAATGATTCCAGCTGAGCATAATTACATCTTTTAAAAACTGGCATTACAGCAGTCTCCACGTGGACCACTTTTGATAAAAGTATATCCTTCAGGTTTCTACAGATCCTTAAAAACTAAAAAACAGAACTATATGTTAGCATCCATAAACTCTCTTTAAATGAAAATGTTTTTTTTTTTTAATGGCTTTAGCTGATTTTCAAAAGAACCCTCCTAACCTAAAGTACATCAATTTGCTCAGTTTACTAGTATAATTAAGCCTATTTAAGTATCTAAATAAAGAGGCTTTCAAATTCTACAAAAAACACATGCAAGAAATGGCTTGCAAAGCAGCAGCTAGAAGCTAGTCATGGAGCTGTAGATGGAACAGGGATGTGTCAACTACCCCAGACACCTTCAGTGAGTGTGTCCCCCTTGCTCAAATAAGCCCAGTCCTGTTGGCTTAGTGTCATCATCGAGAAGAGGTGTTGCAGGGGATGACAGTGCATGGCAAGTTCAGACATTCAAACCCACACAGCTTTCCTCGTGCATAGAGAAGGCCCAAGTGTGTTCATCTACCCACTGATTCCCGTCATTTGGGTTTCAAATTGATTTTTACTGTGGGATTTAAGCATCTGAAGGAAGGGAGGGAGGAAGGGAGAGGGAAAGGAGGAAGGAAACAAGCAAGGGAGGAAAAAGTAGAGGGAAGGAGGGAGGGACTTGTTGGGCCTAATGGTGCTCACTTATAGTTCTTGCTACTCAGGACTCGGATGCAGAAGGACTGGGGCCCAAGAACCAGAAAGCAGCCTGGTGAGCATCATGAGGCCCTGTCTGTACTGAGGGAACAGACAAAACAGCTGCTCAGTCTCTGCTTGTACCAGAATATACAGAAACAAATAATTTTTAACTTTTTTTTAAAAGCTAGTTTCTTTATTTATTCTGTGTGCACTGGTGTTTTACCTGTGTGCACGTCTGTGTGAAGGTGCCAGATCCTTTGGAACTGGAGTTAGTCAGTTGTGAGCTGCCATGTGAGTGCTGGAAACTGAACCTGGGTTCTCTAGGAAGAGAAGCCAGTGAGTGCTCTTAACCTCTGAGCCATCTCTCCAGCCCAGTTTTTAACCTTTTAAGACAAGGTCTTGCTGGGTAACCCAAGCTAGCTTCAAACTCTGATCCTCCTTCCTCTCCCTCCCCAGTGCTGGGACCTGCGGTGCAGTAAAGTATGTTTGAGCACTCCTAGGTCCCACTGGGAGACGAGTGACAAGGGCAGTTCTCCAGCGAGTCCTCCGTGGTCATTCTGACCTGGGCCCTGTCTCCCACTAGTCAACGGGACGCCCAGCACATGCACATAATCATCAAAATAACTTAAGACAAAGTCATGGAAACAAACACCTCCTTGCTCTGAACTCTGAAGGGTTCTTAACTGGAGAATTACACTGGGTTTCCCAGCATCTTCTGTACTGGCCAACAGCTATCGCCAAGGGCTCGTTCCCAAAGACGGACACAGAAACAAGACACACAGACAAGCCCAGAGAGCCGCCACAACTGTCTTCAGATCAGCACACAATTATTTTGTCTCTTCCTTTCTTCATTCACTCTACAAACACGGATTGGGCATTAAGTGCCTACTTTATGCCAGCCCTTGGGTTTGATTCTACAGGACCAAGAAGTCCAAGAGAAGAAAGTGTCTGGCAAAGGTGCCTGTGGGCAACATAAGATGGTCCCTAACGTTGGGTGTGGTGGTGCATGCCTTTAATTCCAGCACTTGGGTGACGGAGGCAGGCAGACTTGGACTACACAGCCAGACTTGTCTCAAGGAAACAAAAAAGCAGCATGTGCTAGGAATGTTCTGTGGCCAATGGTATGAACAAGAGGAGACCGTAGAAGAGACACCACACTCCTTTGATTCACTTACAAGCCAACCCAGTGTGCAGACAACAAAGGGCCCCGGGAAAGACTATGGGCCCGCCCTTTGTCATTCCATGGGGACAGTTCCACGGTAGCCTCCACCACCACTGCTATCATGCAGAGTCTCCACACTGCACAGCTGGCATCTCCCGGAGACGCTAGCATACATGGTCATGGCAGTGTGTCCTGAAACATACATTCAGCTGCTGGTCTCTGCACACTCCATGGAAGATAGAAGTATGATGGTTCAGGGTTTCTTTTCTGTTTGTTGTTTATTTGTTTTTTAGATTTGATTGATTGTTGAAGCAGGGTTTCATCTAGCTCAGGCTGACCTTGAACCCCCTATGTACTCAGGGAAGAATCCCCGATCTTTCTGCTGGGATTACAAAATAGCTCCGAGGTAAAGGTGCTGACCACCAAGCCTGACAACTGAACTGATTTTAATATCCAGGACCCATATTGTAGGAGGAAAGAATGGGTTGACCTCCACAGGAGTGCATTCCCACATATACAAATGCACAGTAAAGAAGCAGACGTAATCTGAGGAGGAGAGGAGGAGAAACATAAGAAACCAGTCATGGTGGCGCACACCTATAATCCCAGCTCTTGGGAGGTAAAGGCAGGTGGATCTCAGTGAGTTCAAGGCCAGCCTGGCGTACAGAGCGAGTTTCAGGACAGCCAGGACTACACAGAGACAACCTATCTTAAGAAAGAGGGGGTGGGAAGGAGGGAAGTCATTGAAGACTGAGAAGATGCTCAATGAGTAAAGGCACATGTCACCAAGCTTGGCGAAGCTCAGTCTCTGGGGTCCACATGGTAGAAGGAGAGAACTAACTCTCGAAAGTGGTCCCCTGCCCTCCACATGTGCAGCCTGATACACTCACATATGTATGTTCACACGTGTTCACACAAAAGAAAATGTAGTAAGTGAAAAGCAATTTTAAAAAAGAAACTCCTGGAAGGAAAATATCTAATTCTTGAAAAGATTAATATTCCTAAAAGGATATAATATCTTAGAGGCCCTTAAAGACAACTGCATAGAAACCCATCAGCAACAGGAAATATGGGCTGGGTAGGGCTGTTTTTGGAGGGTGGGTGGGATTAAACCATCCCATC